ACTAAAGCGATTATCATTATTTCACGTTAACATCATCGGTATTCAAATAAACAAATAAAAAGTCATAAAAGAAGAACTAATTACTAAATTCGAAGAAAATTTGAATCGTATTTAACGTTAATAGTTTTCATAGTTGACTTTCCTGTGAATCGATAAACAGAAAAGTGATTATTGTATCATATTAACATTGGAATTCATTTTCATGATTGCTTCATATAAATCCAAACAGATGTTAGTTTTATAGCCATAAATGTTAGCGTCGTGTGTGGCAATAAAATATATCAAAAGTATTTTCAAAAATTATTAGCGAAAATTTTAGTATTAAAAACGGACTAAATCACAATTAAACTGAATCTGTGCGAGAAAACATTTAAAATGTAAATCTGAGACAGTAAGTTATTATTATTATTATTATTATTATTATGTTTTTTTTTTAAGAAACGCGACAATTATTTTATAAAAACCCTATCTTCAAAATTAAGCTTTTTGCTATTTTATAATAATTAAAAATATAAAAAGTTTTTTAATAAGATATCATAATAGATGGCGCCACTAAATGTTTCAACTTATTGCTAGATTTTTTTCAAGATGAATCAGAACTATGAAAAGAGTTTTCCAACTCTTTTCATAGTTCTGTCGAGTTTAACAAGAAAATTCGAACTGTCTTCTTAAACAGTTCGAATCTTCTCGTTAAACTTGACGCAGAACTATGAAAAGGGGTCGAAAACGCTGGTTTAAATAAATTAAAATGTTGTCGAAAAAGTATTTAAGGTGTTGTTCAAGCATTTTATAATTGTAAGTAAACATAGCCTACTAAATATTAGAAACAGTTGAATCGTCCCGTCGCTAATAGTAAGTAGAAGTTTTTCCAAGAGAATTCGAATGTAGTCTTTATGAAGAGCGATTAAAAAAATCTATATATTCAGTATATAGGACAGATTCGTCTTAATTTGATTAGAATTAAAATCTTTCTGGCGGGAGTGTAATCTGCGCACAATGGTATATATTTCATAACTTTCTGTATTTGTTAACTTTTTATTCATAGATTATTATTAGAGACGCAGTGACAAAATTTGGCGCTCACGGCGAAAGATGAAAGGTACTGTACATTTCTTCACATAAAGCGAAAAGTAAATAGTTATAATGTACTCGTATGTATATTAAATGTACAGTGCGTATATATCAGGTTATTTTCCCCAAATGATAAATAATTATTGTCGATTTAATAAATAAAATTTTAAAAAATTAGTATATTCGATCAGTTTTGCGCTAATGTACTGTACAGCACATTAGTATTAAGATTAAGCCACTTAGCAGTAAATACTTAGATTGATGCCACCTATGAGAGAGAAGCTATACCAGGTGCATTCGTATTATTGATATTATATCGCTGTTTATAAGCACTTTATCGAGCTTCATATAATGATTCAAAGTTAGCAAATTCTCATTCTTGTTAAAAATTTATTATTTAACATTCGATGCAACCAAATAATGTATATATTTTATAATAGATATTATTTTACTTTTCATAATTAGCTTATCTTTTCACGAGTTTTTCGTATTTAATATACAGTGGAGCGTCAATTTTCCGAATCAATTGGGGACTGGGGTTGTTCGTATAACTGATATTTCGGATAACCGATTTATGTACGAAAAAATAGTTTAACGTATTCGATGTTAAAATTTTTATTCGTTGCGTGTCGCTTCGCGTTGAATTTTCGTCGATGTTAAGCCTAACAAAGACTACTGTATCGTTAAAAATTATTTTTTTATTTTGTACAAACAAAATAAATATATTGAAAAATATAAAAACAATAAAAAATTATACTTCAGATGTTAATTTAGTACCAAAAACGTAAAATATTTGAATAGCCTAAGACATAGCCAAAGATTGAAGCGCCTCAGCACTGGCGAAAATTTAAATTTGCCGACTGGAATTCTTTCGGATGATTGACTTTCGGAAAATCGACGCTCTACTGTAATTAAGTTGGCGGAGAGAGCCTAGGAAAAATGCCTCTCATATCCCACTATCTGAGTGGTATTGCTGAAAGCTATAAAAATTACGAATAAAAACAGGTAATTTTTACTGCTTATTAAAAGATTTTAATATATGTTATTTTCATATTATACTGTATATATATAAATATTTTACATTAGTTAATTAAAACACTAAAAACACTACAGTTTCGAGAAACCCTCTGTGCCAGCCTTGCTGGTATCAAATCTACACCTGGTCTTAAATAACCGAATAAACAGAAAATAAAAAGGAAATTTAAATACTGTATTAGATTGATCAGTATAATACTTTTTTGTTTGCTTTTTTATTTCTTAAATGTAATTTAACGAATTCTGTAACATCTACGACAGGGAAAAGTGTAATAATTTTCTGTAGTGAGTATCTGAATTAGATATTCCGCTGATGGAAATAGAATAATTTTCTTGGTTTACTCAATTTTTTAAAAATGAAAATCAAGATGTACAATCAATAGAAAATGAAAATAGATTCAAATATAATAAATAATAGTCTACTGTCAAAATACACACCTTTCATTGTAATAATACAGGTTTGTTTCGTTTGTCACTAATTCAGAAGCTAAATATAGCCTATATATAGGCCTATATATTTAAATATAAGAAAATGATTTTGTTAATGGTTAGAAGACTTCCAAGAAAAACTGCTAAATTGAGACACTTTTAAATCAGTTTTTTAAATTTAATAACTGAACACTAAAGCGATTATCATTATTTCACGTTAACATCATCGGTATTCAAATAAACAAATAAAAAGTCATAAAAGAAGAACTAATTACTAAATTCGAAGAAAATTTGAATCGTATTTAACGTTAATAGTTTTCATAGTTGACTTTCCTGTGAATCGATAAACAGAAAAGTGATTATTGTATCATATTAACATTGGAATTCATTTTCATGATTGCTTCATATAAATCCAAACAGATGTTAGTTTTATAGCCATAAATGTTAGCGTCGTGTGTGGCAATAAAATATATCAAAAGTATTTTCAAAAATTATTAGCGAAAATTTTAGTATTAAAAACGGACTAAATCACAATTAAACTGAATCTGTGCGAGAAAACATTTAAAATGTAAATCTGAGACAGTAAGTTATTATTATTATTATTATTATTATTATGTTTTTTTTTTAAGAAACGCGTAAAATGAATAGGTCTACGGTATAAATCTAAGAATATATACCCCCACTCCTTATATATTTTATTAGAAATCAGTTCTATCTTCTAAGAACACAAATTATTAACCTCCATTATGAACTGTATTATTAGTCTATTTCATTTATAACTGAAGAAATAACATGATTTCGTAACAGACCCTTATTCGCGTTTTTCATGAACTATAGAGGATGTTGCATTTTTCCAAAGTGGCCACTTTATCTGGGTCGCTTGAAACTAGTAATGTAAAATTAATCATATATTACTGTCCGATATAATGATATATGCTACTTGTAACTGTTTATCGAAAAATTTTATATAAGGAGAACAGTTATTGCTAGCGGGGCACGTCACTATGTGATATCGAAACAAATGAGCGCGATCGTTCTATACATATTTGTGCCCTTTGTGTTCAAAAACATCAGCTTTGACATTGTCCTATCAGGGCCGGATTTATAAATAAAAAGCTATGTAAGTTGTTGCTTAGGGCCTCGACTTTCAAAGGGACTCAAACATTTGTACAAGAAAGAAAATGTTGTAATAAACATCTTTTTACAAACCAACAAAATATAGTTTACTTTTTATTTTGTGTAGTATTTCATTAATTGTTTTTCTAAGAATTAATATATCTTTTTTAAAAAAATTTAAAAAAAGATTTTTAATGGAATGGTTATAGAAATTTAATTAAATTCAGTTATAAAACAGAAAACTAATGAAACCTCACATCCTTTTCTTCCAATATCCGTATTAAATCAGAGACATAGTCTGATTTAATTCTTTTCTTTTGATTGACTTCTAAAATTGTCAAGGGTTGGTAAGGGGACTTACAGAGTTCAACTTACGGCTTCGAAATGCTTAAATCCGACCCTGTGTCCCACATAAAATTACTGGATTTTAAACTTTAAGAAAATATGTTTTAAAATCGATAGCATAACTTGTTTATGTAAAGCTGGACAATCGGAAAACTGGCAATTCTTAACAGTTTAATCCACTCTTTCAGAATTTGGAGAAGCTCATAAATATAACCGACCGATTTCCGAATAATCATCTGTTTTTCATGTGGAAATAGACGAAAACTTATATTAGGCTCCCATAAGGCTTTGAAATTGCAATTTGGAACGCAACATAAAGCTTTACTTTTTCTATTGCTATTCATCTTTACTGCTGATAATACACGAGAATGAATCAAACGACCCAGATAGAATAGTTTTATTTTTAAACACCAGAGGGCGAGCATCCGGTGAAAAATGCGACGTTCTGTCAGAATTTGTCATGGGACTGGAGAAAATTTAGGAGCCCGCAATGGCTCCTATTCCTATAAAATTAATGTTGTTTTTAATGACAGAAAATAAAATCTCTAGGATGTTTTGTATTAATAAATATTCTACGAGTTTAGTTCAAAATAAATAAATAAATGATAACTAAAGAGGACGTACTATTCCAGGCCCCCACCAGCTCTCGGCGGTTATGATTTTATATAAAATAATATAAAAGTAATATAAGGAGTGAAAAATGTTTTATTTTTCACTGCTTTATTTGTTATTATTTATTTATTTGTTTTATCAATTTTAATCATATAGGCCTATATTTAGAACGTTTCAGATCTCATTTCACCTTTCTCAGGCCCTAGATCTAACATAGAAACCTGTATTTAAATAATTGACTATCAGTATATAACATTGTGCCAATTCTTTTAAAATATTTTTACAGCAACTAAAGTAATTGCGATCAATGATTAAACACAGCAATGAATTTTGAACTTTTTTGACAATGGATTAATAAATGACTTACCATGAATTTTGATTAATATTTAAACTGATTTTAATCAGAACAAACGTTTTAAAATAAGCTTAAAATTTTCTAAATTTAAAATATGTCACGAAATACGTTAAAACGGAAATTATTGATGCAATTTAGATAAACTAGATAAATGTCTGCGTGTCAATTCCCACGCAACTATTATTTGAATTATCATAGTCCGAAATATTACAAAAAGCAAAACTATTTGTAAGCTCAATAAATAAATAAACGATACAAAAATAAATTTATAACATGAGAAGTGTGTTAATCGGCGCAATCGCACCTTAATTTCAACGAACTCGTGACATCATCCCGACTTCGACGAAAGGATGACATCATCAGTGACGTCGAGCGAGGTGTGGCAGTTTTGGTGGAAATTGACAAGTGACGGCTCACGAGTTAGTGTTTTAGACGGTAGTACAAGAAACAGAAATGTAAGTATAACACAGTTTAAAGATTTCTAATTATATACAGTTGTAACTATTTTATGTAACAATTTAGCGTTGGTAATGTCAAAATAGTACATTAATAACTGTAAAAACGTTATTTATTTAATATTTTAGAATTAAAAATAGTTTTATCCGCTTGTCAGATGACGATATTAATTATTTTTAATAATATGTAAATTGGCTTTAGTAAATAAAGTCAATAAATTTGCTAAACTGTACGTTTAAACTTCAGTTTTTTAAAACAAGTGTAATTATGACTCACGCGAGTAGGTAGATGTAGTAATGTCTGGTGAATAATGCCGGAAGAAAAACTTTCAATGGTCTGTTTCTCATTATGAATAACAATGTTTGGTATGTCCCCAATAGTGTCTGTGAGTAATCAACCTGTTAAGGGTTGACGTGTAATAAATTGTATGCATTAATAATATGATTGTTATAATAATTGTTTCACTTTCACATTACTTAAATTAAGCATGCGAGTTAAAATTTAAGTAATTAAAATGAAAGGTGTATAAAGTTATTATGTATACAATTTCAAATTAAAAAACATTCTTAATTGTGATGTAAATTGGCAAGATTTTCTCTCTGGATCACTGTCGGTATGTTGTTATATAGTTATAAATGAATGGACGTCCGACTATAAACTGGCTCGTATAATGAGTAAAAAAAACAAAAGGAAATCGTGAGTCCAGAAGCAACTCGAGATATTCTGCTTCAGTTTTCCTTATGTCCCTTCTGGGTTGGCCAGACACACCCAAAAACTAGTCATAAGTGTTCCTCACAATTGCTTGTTAGAAAGAATCTTATTACCTGTATATTTAGATAACAATTTAATTTTGATATTGTATCATGCAGCATTAATCCTGTACCCTAAATACTGTATATTTCAACAAATACAGTAATTTTGTGTTGGCAGTTTACTTTGGGCCACATGAATGATTTTACTCCTCCTTGTAACAAGGAAAACATTAATTTTTAAACAATTTTAACTTATTCTGTGTTTTTCTTTTAATTCTTGTTATTTTTTTACTAAATATTTGGCAGTTATAGAATGCAAGTTTCTTAGGATCTTGTGAAAGATTGTTTCTAAAAATGATTTATTTTTTTCTCCTCCTCATTTTTCTTTTACATTCGGGGATTATTACAGCTAGGCTTTGTTAGCACTGTGACAATGGTGCCTAGTGAAGATTAAATCTGAATAATTCAACCAAAACATTTTATTAGGATAACAAAAACTTGCAAAAAAGTTCTCTCTAAATGAAATATTCTGGTTGAATTGTATGCTTGAGGAACTGTATCCTTAAATATGTAAAATAATGATAATATAAAGAATTTATTAAATATAGTAAACATGTTTAAATAACGAGAACTTTTGTAATCTTAATTTATGAAATTTTAATTTTTAGTGTAAATCATGTCTGCTCTAATTGAAAAACTTCGTGCCCAGTGCTTAAAACGTGGAGCTCATGGAATTAAAGGATTAGGAAGGTAAATGCTATCATAATTGAAGACATTGTTACAATCACTCAAAATCCAATTGTCCTGCATGGATGAAGGTGTAATGTATGCATGTTTCGTATAACATCAACAAAGATCTCAGAAATTAACAATACTAAAACTTTCTACAACACACTATAAATATAGTTACATCAAAGTATAAACACATGAACATCAATTCATTCAAAACTGATTTTGTAACACAACACTTTCTTCATAATTGGATTTTCTTCCACTTGTGTTTTTCAATTTTGATATTAATTTAAATGTTTTTTATAGAGCTTTTCGCATATTAGATGATAATCGTGACAGAAAACTTGACTTAACGGAACTTAAAGAAGGATTACAAGAATATGGACTAGAATTAAGTCCTGAAGAAATTACTGAAATTTTTCAAGAGATTGATAGAGATGGAAGTGGTACTATTCATTTTGATGAATTTCTAAGAGCAATAAGAGTAAGTTTTTTCTTTATTGTTATATAGTTATCTGTAAATAGTTATTTCCTTTTTAATAAAAATGAACACACAAATTGTTTTTTGATTTTGAATTTTTAATAAATATAAATTGCTATTTTATTAATAATATCAATCATTATTTATTTTAGCCTCCAATGGCTGATAATACACGAGAATGAATCAAACGACCCAGATAGAATAGTTTTATTTTTAAACACCAGAGGGCGAGCATCCGGTGAAAAATGCGACGTTCTGTCAGAATTTGTCATGGGACTGGAGAAAATTTAGGAGCCCGCAATGGCTCCTATTCCTATAAAATTAATGTTGTTTTTAATGACAGAAAATAAAATCTCTAGGATGTTTTGTATTAATAAATATTCTACGAGTTTAGTTCAAAATAAATAAATAAATGATAACTAAAGAGGACGTACTATTCCAGGCCCCCACCAGCTCTCGGCGGTTATGATTTTATATAAAATAATATAAAAGTAATATAAGGAGTGAAAAATGTTTTATTTTTCACTGCTTTATTTGTTATTATTTATTTATTTGTTTTATCAATTTTAATCATATAGGCCTATATTTAGAACGTTTCAGATCTCATTTCACCTTTCTCAGGCCCTAGATCTAACATAGAAACCTGTATTTAAATAATTGACTATCAGTATATAACATTGTGCCAATTCTTTTAAAATATTTTTACAGCAACTAAAGTAATTGCGATCAATGATTAAACACAGCAATGAATTTTGAACTTTTTTGACAATGGATTAATAAATGACTTACCATGAATTTTGATTAATATTTAAACTGATTTTAATCAGAACAAACGTTTTAAAATAAGCTTAAAATTTTCTAAATTTAAAATATGTCACGAAATACGTTAAAACGGAAATTATTGATGCAATTTAGATAAACTAGATAAATGTCTGCGTGTCAATTCCCACGCAACTATTATTTGAATTATCATAGTCCGAAATATTACAAAAAGCAAAACTATTTGTAAGCTCAATAAATAAATAAACGATACAAAAATAAATTTATAACATGAGAAGTGTGTTAATCGGCGCAATCGCACCTTAATTTCAACGAACTCGTGACATCATCCCGACTTCGACGAAAGGATGACATCATCAGTGACGTCGAGCGAGGTGTGGCAGTTTTGGTGGAAATTGACAAGTGACGGCTCACGAGTTAGTGTTTTAGACGGTAGTACAAGAAACAGAAATGTAAGTATAACACAGTTTAAAGATTTCTAATTATATACAGTTGTAACTATTTTATGTAACAATTTAGCGTTGGTAATGTCAAAATAGTACATTAATAACTGTAAAAACGTTATTTATTTAATATTTTAGAATTAAAAATAGTTTTATCCGCTTGTCAGATGACGATATTAATTATTTTTAATAATATGTAAATTGGCTTTAGTAAATAAAGTCAATAAATTTGCTAAACTGTACGTTTAAACTTCAGTTTTTTAAAACAAGTGTAATTATGACTCACGCGAGTAGGTAGATGTAGTAATGTCTGGTGAATAATGCCGGAAGAAAAACTTTCAATGGTCTGTTTCTCATTATGAATAACAATGTTTGGTATGTCCCCAATAGTGTCTGTGAGTAATCAACCTGTTAAGGGTTGACGTGTAATAAATTGTATGCATTAATAATATGATTGTTATAATAATTGTTTCACTTTCACATTACTTAAATTAAGCATGCGAGTTAAAATTTAAGTAATTAAAATGAAAGGTGTATAAAGTTATTATGTATACAATTTCAAATTAAAAAACATTCTTAATTGTGATGTAAATTGGCAAGATTTTCTCTCTGGATCACTGTCGGTATGTTGTTATATAGTTATAAATGAATGGACGTCCGACTATAAACTGGCTCGTATAATGAGTAAAAAAAACAAAAGGAAATCGTGAGTCCAGAAGCAACTCGAGATATTCTGCTTCAGTTTTCCTTATGTCCCTTCTGGGTTGGCCAGACACACCCAAAAACTAGTCATAAGTGTTCCTCACAATTGCTTGTTAGAAAGAATCTTATTACCTGTATATTTAGATAACAATTTAATTTTGATATTGTATCATGCAGCATTAATCCTGTACCCTAAATACTGTATATTTCAACAAATACAGTAATTTTGTGTTGGCAGTTTACTTTGGGCCACATGAATGATTTTACTCCTCCTTGTAACAAGGAAAACATTAATTTTTAAACAATTTTAACTTATTCTGTGTTTTTCTTTTAATTCTTGTTATTTTTTTACTAAATATTTGGCAGTTATAGAATGCAAGTTTCTTAGGATCTTGTGAAAGATTGTTTCTAAAAATGATTTATTTTTTTCTCCTCCTCATTTTTCTTTTACATTCGGGGATTATTACAGCTAGGCTTTGTTAGCACTGTGACAATGGTGCCTAGTGAAGATTAAATCTGAATAATTCAACCAAAACATTTTATTAGGATAACAAAAACTTGCAAAAAAGTTCTCTCTAAATGAAATATTCTGGTTGAATTGTATGCTTGAGGAACTGTATCCTTAAATATGTAAAATAATGATAATATAAAGAATTTATTAAATATAGTAAACATGTTTAAATAACGAGAACTTTTGTAATCTTAATTTATGAAATTTTAATTTTTAGTGTAAATCATGTCTGCTCTAATTGAAAAACTTCGTGCCCAGTGCTTAAAACGTGGAGCTCATGGAATTAAAGGATTAGGAAGGTAAATGCTATCATAATTGAAGACATTGTTACAATCACTCAAAATCCAATTGTCCTGCATGGATGAAGGTGTAATGTATGCATGTTTCGTATAACATCAACAAAGATCTCAGAAATTAACAATACTAATACTTTCTACAACACACTACTTTTTTGAATATATTTACATCAAAGTATAAAAACATGAACATCAGTTCATTCAAAACTGATTTTGTAACACAATACTTTCTTCATAATTGGATTTTCTTCCACTTGTGTTTTTCAATTTTGATATTAATTTGAATGTTTTTATAGAGCTTTTCGCATATTAGACGATAATCGTGACAGAAAACTTGACTTAACGGAACTTAAAGAAGGATTACAAGAATATGGACTAGAATTAAGTCCTGAAGAAATTACTGAAATTTTTCAAGAGATTGATAGAGATGGAAGTGGTACTATTCATTTTGATGAATTTCTAAGAGCAATAAGAGTAAGTTTTTTCTTTATTGTTATATAGTTATCTGTAAATAGTTATTTCCTTTTTAATAAAAATAAACACACAAATTGCTTTTTGATTTTGAATTTTTAATGAATATAAATTGCTATTTTATTAATAATATCAATCATTATTTATTTTAGCCTCCAATGTCACAGACCCGTTTGAATATAATTGGACAAGCTTTTCAAAAAATGGATAAAACTGGTGATGGTATCATAACAATTCAAGATCTAAAAAATACCTATGATGTAACACGTCACCCTAAATTTATTAACACTGAAATGAGTGAAGATGAAATATTTGGACTGTTCTTACAAAACTTTGATGCCCCAAATGATCCAGATGGAAAGGTTTGTCACTTTTTTTAAATACAGCAATTATTTAATTTTAAACTTTAGCTGTACATATTTTTTAAAATAAATCTGGAAATATAAAAGAGAAGCAATTTTTCTAGAAAGACATGACTTGTCAGAAATTTAGCCTCTAACTGAAAATATTTTTATCAGTTTTTGAACTTTTAACAATAGACCTTTTCAGGATAATTTATAGCTTAAATGGTTTTCTAATATAAATTCAAAGAAATAAAAAAATTTTGGCTTCAGAATTTAGCTTTTGGACTATTTCCAGTTTTTACATTAAAAATGGTATGAAATGAAAAATGTATTTATGTCCATCCACTTGATTGATTAAATGTAAAATATTATTGATCAACTGCAAGAATCAATATTACTTCAAAGATGTTCTGTCAAAATAAAATGTTTTATTGATTATCTGAAACACATAAATCAGCTAAAACTATTTTTAAAATACTTCGAAAGTTGAATTATTTAAATATGACATACTTGAACCTATAACCGATGTGAATCGAATAATTTTTTTTTTCGGGGTTATGAAAATGTTCGTCGTGGAAAATTATTCGATTCACATCGGTTATAGGTTCAAGTATGTCATATTTATTTTATACAATCCGGTGTGCAGTAGATGTTATGTAGTTGAATTATTTTTGTAACTAAATATTTTTTTGGATATTTTTGTTAAAATTAAAAGCAATAAATAAAATACAACAATTCTGAATAACTTAGAAAATAATGTAATATAAAAATTTTAAATAAATTATATATAAGTTTAATCCTAAAATAGTGATTGGTTTTGATGAGATAATACCAGGGCTGTGGAGTCGTTTAAAAATCTACCGACTCCGACCAGGGGCAGACTTGTTATCAGAATTCCTGGGCCCAGTTTGGTGTTATTATGTGACCTCAATAAAAGCTTAAATAAATAGTTAATAAAGATAGCTTTGGAATTAAAAAGTTTCTACATTCTAAAAGACTCCTCTAAGTAATGATAGTCAATATATAAATATGTATTCAATAATTTTTACTTTCCCAGCTGTTACATATAATGAAGGGAAAGTAAAGTAATCAGTCAAAAATGATCTCCCAAAATTTTATATTTAAACTGAATTGTGCCCCCGACATTCTAACATCTGTGCATACAGAAAAAACCCCAAATGTTTTTGCACTTCTCAACATTTCAAGGGGTCCTAAGTCCAAAAGAGTAAAAAACTGGGGAAGTTATTTTTTGACAGATTATCATTCTTTTTCCTTTTTATAGGTTTATAATGTATAACAGCCAGGAAAGTAATGTATATGTTACCGGCCAAACCTATGCATGTCAGGATATACAGTAGAGCATTGATTTTCCAAATCAATTGGGGACTGGGGTTGTCCGGATAACTGATATTTCGGATAACTGATTTACGTACGAAAAAATAGTTTAACGTATCCGATGTCGAAATTTTNATACTGTATATATATATATAATTTATTTTAAATTTTTATATAAGTTTAATCCTAAAATAGTGGTTGGTTTTGATGAGATAATACCAGTGCTGTGGAGTCATTTAAAAATCTACCAACTCCAACTTTGCCTTACCATCCAACTCTGACCAGGGGCAGACTTGTTATCAGAATTCCCAGGCCCAGTTTGGTGTCATTACGTGACCTCAATAAAAGCTTAACTAAATAGTTCTAATAAAGATAGAATGTAGAAACTTTTTAATTCCAAAGCTAAAAGACTCCTCTAAGTAATGATAGTCAATATATAAATATGTATTCAATAATTTTTACTTTTCCAGCTGTTATATATAATGGAGGGAAAGTAAAGTAATCAGTCAAAAATGATCTTCCAAAATTTTACATTTAAACTGAATTGTGCCCCCCACATTCTAACATCTATGCATACAGAAAAAACCCAAATATTTTTGCATTTCTCAACATTTCAAGGTGTTCTAAGTCCAAAAGAGTAAAAAACTGGGGAAATCATTTTGTGACAGATTATAAATCTATAAAAAGGAAAAAGAATGATAATGTATAACAGCCAGGAAAGTAATGTATATGTTACTGGCCAACCCCAATTTCAGGCCAAACTAGTTTATCCTACGCATGTCAGGATATACTAGTTTAGCCCAGGATAATCTAGTTTGGCCTAAATACTTTAGGCTTAACTAGTTTGACCTAGGCTGAACTGATTTATGTACTACAAATAGGCGCCATTGTAAAAAAAAAAAAAACGATTTTGTGTAATTCGAAATGCCACCACAGTACACCTGGTGGTTAAAGTGTACGGTACCTAGGCAACTCCAATGGCATTAGATTAGGTTGGTTTGGTTAGGTAAACTACATTTTTAGTAGACATTTCCTTTTTTTTTTTTCTTTTGTTCAAGAACTACCGTGAATCAATAACTAGTGACGTTAACCAATGGGAGCACAACAGGCCGAAGTGCCGCCATTGGGGTTACCTAGGTACATTTTAACCCGCCCTGTAAAAATAAATAAAAGATTAAGTATTTTATATGTTACACTAAGAAACACAAACAAGTTCATTTTTTATTTTAGTTTGACTTTAAAAGTTATTTTTATTATTTCGTTTGAATTTTTGAAAATATTATCAAAAGTTAATTATCTTTAAAAGTGCATTGTTTAATAAAAAAAAAAATACAAACTGATAAGTACTGTTTAGTTTATTTTTATTTTATAGTTTTGTACAAGTGTTGTGTCACTTCTAATCAANTATTGAAAAATATAAAAACAATAAAAAATTATACTTCAGATGTTAATTTAGTATCAAAAACATAAAATATTTGAGTAGCCCAAGATATAGCCAAAGATTAAAGCGCCACAGCACTGGTGAAAATTTAAATTTGCCGACTGGAATTCTTTCGGATGATTGACTTTTGGAAAATCGACGCTCTACTGTACTAGTTTATCCTAGGATAATCTAGTTTGGCCTAAATACTTTAGACTTAACTAGTTTGACCTAGGCCGAACTGATTTATGTACTACAAATAGGTGCCAGTGTAAAAAAAATGATTTTGCGTAATTCGAAATGCCACCACAGTACACCCGGTGGTTAAAGTGTACTTAGGTAACCCTAATGGCGTTAGGTTAGGTTTGGTTAGGTTAACTACATTTTTAGTAGACGTTTCCTTTTTTTTCTTTTGTTCAAGAACTACCGTGAATCAATAACTAGTGACATTAAACAATGGGCGGCCTGCTGGCGGCTCCCCTCTAGGAGGAGTGCCACCATTGGGGTTGCCTAGGTACACTTTAACCTGCCCTGTAAAAATAAATAAAAGATTAAATATTTTATATGTTACACTAAGAAACACAAACAAATTCATTTTTAATTTTAGTTTGACTTTAAAAGTTATTTTTATTATTTTGTTTGAATTTTTGAAAATATTTTCGAAAGTTAATTATCTTTAAAAGTACATTGCTTAATAAAAAAAAAATACAAACCGATAAGTACTGTTTATTTTTATTTTATAGTTTTGTACAAGTGTTGTCACTTCTAATCAATACTGTTTTTATAATTAAGTAGACTATATTTGAATAAATAATGTTCATCTAATTGATTGCCTTTTAATTTTATTTTAACCATTAATATACTTAAATTAGGCCTGGCCAACCCGTGGCCCATTACATTAAATTGTGTGACCTGCTAAGTGATATTATATATCTATTAAAACTTTTGTTTTCCGTTTTGTGTATACCAAAACAATTAAATAAATGAAAATTTGCATGTGTCATTGTTATAATGTGCAAGTGTGAGTATGAACTCTTGGTATAACAATGAAATCTTATTCATTTTGTATTTGTTTTACTTTTTTAAAAGCATGTTTGCCTAAATTGTGGCCCATTGTAATGTTTTGAGTGATCAAAGTGTCCCGCAAAACAATTTGGGTTGGCCAGGCCTTAGTTAAATAATAATTCTAAATCAGTTTGGCCTAGGACAAACTAGTTAAGCCTAAAGTATTTAGGCCAAACTAGATTGTCCTAGGCTAAACTAGTATATCCTGACACACATAGGATAAACTAGTTTGGCCTGAAATC